CGTGTTCGGTGTTGGCTTCAAAGCTTTTGTCGAGTATAGCTTGTAGCCCCACATGGAAGCAGTATTGCAGGTAGCATACAAATTACATACGGATGACGGGCTCGTTTTGATCTTACCGGGTCAAAGCACAGTGGCATGTTGCAACTCTGTCGAACCGTAGGATTCCGTAGTTTCCATGATCCCTAGATTCCCCCCAATATACTATAGCAGCTTCCATTCTATTTTCCATTATCCCTATATATGACCCCAAAATACTATAGAAGTTACCATTTTCCTTTCCATTATCCCAACATATCCCCAATATATTGAAAGATTATTGCCAGACCCCAGGCATGCTGAAAGGAGTTATTTAGGTACTCTATATACATATATATATATATATACGTATATGGGATTTGGGGTTTGAGGGGTTTCATACCCATGCTTCCACGCTGTTCCTCAAATAAAGGGTTTTCTGAGTACACTGTGAAGCACCTATAGCATTTTGGGGACGCCAACGGTTGGACCGTATTGCCTGGAAAAGACCCATGGAGAGGACTGGGATTTGGGTCGGAAACGCAAGAATCTCAGATTTAGGGTTTAGGGTCTAAACTCCTCATATCCCCCTAAATAACCCCTAGGTTAATCCTCTTGAAAAATCTGAACTTACTCCATGTCCAGATTCCCCTCTCCCTACTCGGATATAATAGTCTGAACTCATCCTAACAAGACCTCCACTTAATCACATGGAATAACTCCTACATAATTCTTTTAAGGACACATGCTGAAGGGGTCTACAGAAGTGCAATAAGGCTTTGGGCTACTTCAGCAGCGTCCTTGCCTCCCATTCCTCCTCAGGTTCAGCAGTCTTCTCCGTGTCAGTTGCTCCCATTGACATGGAGGAGCCCTGCCTGTTGATAGAGTTTAGGGTTTAGTTAGGACTTGGATGGCCACTATGGGTTCTACCTTGGACGCTGGACGAGTCCTGCATTTTGAGGATTGGCAGCGCGAGAAACTACTTGTTTGGTCGACCCCATTGACTATTGCAATGGCCCCAGATTGCAGGTGAGAGTTGTCATTTTATGGTCCCGACTTGGCAAAGTCCGCTCCCCTGAGGACATTGACATGCAAAGGATCGTTGCGTCTGTTGCTCTATTTACGTGAGGCGCTACCAAGGGTGCAAAGCAGCAATAGCTTGTTTCGTACGTGGATGCAGGCTGTCAAGGCCTGGCGCAACCCGGACAGCGAATGCAATATCACATCACAGCATCGCACTTGCAGCGGGATCAGTCTTGAAAGCTTCCTTTCCAATAGGCAAAGCTCACTGTATGTATATCCTTGAATTGAAGCCTCCTCAAAGCATTTAAAACATTGACAACTACGGCTTCAACTTGAGATGCAGGCTTGCAACAACCATGGCCCCTGTGCGCCTGGATGACGATTTCCTCCTCATCAATTTACACAACTTGCGATGTGTAGATAGGGGCCAGCTCCGCCTTTAAGTTTCACTAGACAAGGGACAAGGGATAATGATACCGCTGCACTTGTGGCAGAATGACAAACAGTGGCCTTACGTAGAACAGGTGACGATACTTCCACGGGTGTCTCTTGGGCTTGGCAAAAGCAGGAAACCATGCACACGCCCCAATCGCACAAACAATATCAAGCATGTGAAACGACCAGCGGTCACTTGAGCTCTTGTGAAAATTCGTGTCCCAGTGCCATAGTGATGCTTTTAGGATACGCCCCGGCAATTCCAACCTGCGCACAGAACCCTAAATCTAAAATCAAAACCAATACCCTGAAGCCTGAACCCAGTCCTGCCCGGCATTCTTGCGGAAGCCCCTTTGGGGTGCAGGCCTGCAGCACTGAAATGATGGAACTTCGCAACGAGTGCATACGTCTTACCAATCCCTAATGCTGTTGGCTAAGCGGCGGAAATTCCGGTGTGCTTTTGGGTTGCTTGAAAAGCCCGGTTGACGAAACTGCCCACTGATGATCGAAACTACCTCCTTCTGCATGCTAAGGGCCGAGTGAAGCATTGTCATGGCCAACCAGCTCACATTAGAACGTTGGTAATCTTGGCCCTGCGGGCAGACTGGTGATTTACAACCCAATTTCACACGAGGGGCAATAGCTGTGAGGAATCTACGACAACACTACTACCGACACTGTTGCTGCTGCTGTGGCGGCGCATTTTGCTCCTACAATGATTTCCTCTTCTTGCGCTGCTGCTGACTATTTGACAGCAACACAAGGAACTGCAGGAAAAGCAGCTACAGCAGCAGGAGGGCCAACATTCACAGCAGCAGTGGAGAAGGCACCGCTTTTATATCTCAGTACTACTGAATAAGCCACAGTTGCGATTCTCTTTTCTGCAAACATTGTTTAGAGTATGGCTTCAACTGTGCCGTGAAAGCTGGGCGTTGGACGCCAGGTATTTTGGCAGCGTCAGAAGATGAACATCGGCTTGTCCAACTAACTAGGCCCGATGTTGCGCGTGCAGAATTCTTTTCAATACAACCATGCCATCGAGCTAGCTATTCAGTCAAGGCAGTGATGGGGGTAATTGCTACAACGAAGTTCCTGGGCCACGCTTCTTCATGTGAATTTTGTGATAGCTACTGCTGTCCTTCACTTGTTTCGGCCACTGTTTCAGCGGGTCAAGCTGGCTGCGTTGAAGCAAAACGACACGCGTCAGACGATTGCATGACCTAGCATGCACTGCTGCTGTTGCACCCGCAGCGTCAAGCCATGGAACAAACTGTAGTACTGGTTTTGAGCCACATAGGAGCACAAACCATAACACCGGCATCTCGAAACATGAAGAAGAGGCAATCGGAATGAAACCCACAGGATGTACCTGGCCTTCACTGAAACTTGTGGGAAGAACTGGCGACAGAACTGCAGACGAAGCCGACACAGTTGCTCACCTGCTTCTTGGTTTAAACTCTCATCTGTAATTTTGGCTTCTGATTTTGAGCTGTCATTGTGTCCAGCGGTAATCTTGCTCAAACATGATAACTGTCAGGGCACCCGCGCCTTTTGCCAAGAGCTATCTCTGCCACACCAGGCCCTGTACTGGCATGGAGCGGATGCGCTTCTGAAATCAAGGGCTGGCGCTTGAAGCAACACAAAAGAAAACAGAGACACAAGAAACCCTGAAGGAGGAGGCGAGACAAACTGGAATCACAATTTAAAGAATTTCAGTAGGCACGTCAGGAGGGCGTTCATGCCGAGAGCTGAAAGCAGGATCCTTACACTTCCGCGCTGTGCTGCTGGATACAACTACAAAAAAACGCAAGCATTTATGCAAAACACTCTGTTCAAACTAAGAGGTCGGCTATGGACTCGGGGTATGTCGTCGTCAGCTGGTGCTTGTTTCAACCCATTCTCTTCTTCGAGCCCCTGATGACTTCTTAAAGCGGGTGAGACGAACACTAGGAGGCAAGTTGGCTGTGCATGCAGGTGAGGACGCAGCGCCGGACCATAGCTAGAAGATCTCAGTCCTACACCCTGGACCCTGGATATTCAAGAATACTTGAGCTCGGCTTTAAGTTTCAATCAGCTTTTGCAAAAACTGAACAGATTCTTCTTCGTAAATCCTCCAACAATGGGAAAGCTGGCAATCTCGGCGAAGGCCGTCTCACGCTCTCTAGTGCTCAGTCTTCTCCATACCAAAAGTGCTCATCCATAACATTGGGTACACCTGAATCGTAGACCCCAGAACGTCATAATTCTTATCATGGGATCCTCAATAAGGGACCTTAATTTTGGGGAAAACCCATCTTGAATAGAATAGGATTCCAGGCCATGCAGCTGCGTCCAAGCCGATCATCTCAGGTGAAGAGAAGTGCCCCTCCCGCAAAAAGACTCCCTGGTACTCAGTATTCTTGTAAGACAGAATTAAGGAAAGTCTTGACATAACTTGTTTCTTGCATAGCTTCCGGCTTTAAAGTTTTACCGGCCATCCCCTTCCAAAGCTCGCGATGTCTTGCTGCAGAATACCAGGGAGAGGAAGACAAGTCATGGGTGGCATGCCGCTGCCTGGCGCCCTCAAAGCGCTGGGACCACCGCGGCCATGCCTAAACCTGAAGCTTTCCAAGGTTAGATACTAAGAGGTAACCTAGTCAGAGGTTTAGTTAGCAAATGGGATGCTAAAAGCTCTACAGCAACTTGCTGCTGTTCCCATTTTTCCTCTGGTCATTTTTTTCCATATTCCTACTCATGCTGCTTCACGTACTGCCATCACTGCTGGAGGCTATCCTCAACAGAATTTTGGCGGCGGATAATCCTCGAATATTCTGAGTACCATGACATGAAACTCTTTCTCTACATTGCGCGGAATTCTTGTGGTTCAAGCAAAATGTTGCTTGTCGTGAAAGTATAGCTGGAAAGAGCCGGGGACGAAAGGCTGTCCATTTACAATACTACTCCATTGGGCTTCAGTATTCAGGAGTATAAGGCTTCCAAAGCCAGAGACCCCAATTATGGACGCCAATATACTACTTGTGCCGGGGTTAACACACATCACTCGGTGAGAATACACCTCATCTGCTGTGGACGCTGGCATTGGGAAGATTTCACATCAGCGGGACATTAACACATCAGAAAGTGGTAATCCCCATGTAGACGCTGCTTCCAGGGCAAAGGATGGTAGGGGCAGATTTCCCGTTCTGCTGTGGACGCTG